TTTGGTTTAAATTATAAGAGTTGAAACAATCAACGTTAGTAATTACATTGCAATGTATGAAGGGGGTGGTTGCTTCGTCCATCAAAGCTAATTTATTTACTAAATTTAATGGGTTATTGCCGTCCGACTAGCTTAAATTGTGTATTTAGTGTTAAAACATCAGCGTTAAGAGGAATTTAAACAATCTGTGTTTAGAGCGACATATAAGAGAGTGTGCCATGAGACATTAATCATCAATTATAACATAGTAAAAAATGAGAATCGAAAAAGTATTCTATGAGCTAGATTATTAGCTAAAATTTAAAAATTCATTGTGCGTTGTTTATTGTACAACTTAGCTTAGGCACTAAACAAACTAGGTAAACGCAATCACATGATTATCTTACTAATATTATAAATGTGAAAGTTTGTGTGTTTGTTTGTTTGTTTGTTTGTTTGTTTGTTTGTTTGAAGTTCAATCACGCATAAACCACTGGACGGATTGGGCTGAAATTTGGCATGATGATAGCTTACATTCCCGATTAACATATAGGCATATTCTTATCTCAAAAATCCTTTCGGGCTCCGCCCCAGTGGCTCTGTAATTCCCCATGTTAACCTTATGAGTATTCATATTTAAAGAGAATTAAAGAATTTAGTCAGCTGTTTCAACTAAAAAAGTTGGTTCTCTGACATGGAAAAGCATTAAAAAGTTATAAGATTTACCAACAGGGAGCAGCACTATATTTTTTGCATTTATGAAAACAGATAATTAAAAACTGTGATTCGCAATGAGAACTGTCAAAGTAGGATTGTTTACAGTTATGTTTATGTTTTTAATTTCATGAATAATTTGTGATATTTTGCGAATTGTTGATAATTTATTTTTCTCTATTGTTTAGGTGAAGTGGTAGAACATTATGGCCATGGTAGATGGTAGATAAGCTTGAGTATAACTGCAATAAGCATTTTATACTTATATTTCAACCCCGTACGAAGGACGGGTACTCTGCTAGTCTATATATAAAGCCAAAAGTACCCATGAACTTTTGAGAAAACTACAAGTCACACCCCCATAAACCATATACTTAAAATGTTCATCATGACGAGAAACCTTGCGCAAAATTATCCATTATTTCATAAATTGCCCTATAAGGTCGTAATTGCTTTCCAAAGGGAACTTTCCATTTACCTAATGTTAAAAATACCTCAGCTGTTATTATTTGTTTGTATTACCATTACTAACTGTATTCTGTTTTGTTTATTTCATCTTAACTTAACCAATCAATAGTTTTATTAATACTAATGTAGTAAAACGGGGTGGAGCCCGTGGGTAACAGCTAGTTACAATAAGTGTAAAAGTTAATAGGTAAACGGTTCAAATAAGACATTACGGCAATAACAGCCTGTTTATGAATATGTACAAATGTTTCATACAACAGTTGATCTTTAGATTTTTAAATAAAATAATCGAAATAGATTAACATTTTTAATTAATTTACATTTCCTAACAGGAACTCATATAGCCTATTCTAAGTCATTTGACAAACACCTTTTATTTTTCGTTAAACCGTATATCATTCAATTAGTCACTTAAACGAGATTATTGAAGTCATAATAGCTGTAAATTATTAAATTAGGAAGTTTTCCAGTTACTCTCAGTTACCAATTACAAAGGGACAGGATGAATGGTCCAAGATGAACTGACACAATTAAAAGTAGTTGATCAATTTGTAATTAATCCTACTACATCGTTGAGCAAATGCAATGTGTTTTATTAGACAACTAGTTATAATTTTACCATAGAAGATTATGTTTTTCTACTGAAATTTTTACGGTAAGAGATAGAAAGAAAACTCAAATACGTAAAATGTTTGTTTAAAAAGGACATTTCACATTATATTTAACTACCTGGCCCAACAGACGTCGTCCTGTCCTAATGTGGTTTTATGTCAAATGCTCGTTCATTTTCAAGATGAGCTCGTTCGCTGCGCTCACTTGCCTTCAGTTACATTTTTATCAGAATTTATTCTACAATCTGTTCAAACAAATATGAGAACAATTAAGCCTATGTCACATTGGCTACTTAGTAGCTGCTATTTCGCTAGCTGCTAGTAAAGTAGCGTAGTGTGACACAGGCTTAAGTAAAACATTTATCAAAACAATATCAGGAAGCAAGCACCTGTTCATCAACAAGTCTTGCCAAAAATTGGATCAATCATAAATATTTACAGAAATCTGAAGCTTAGGTCCAGCACATGCACAACACTTTTTATTTAATCTGGTAATGCACTGACTATTGTCCAGCAGATTAACAGCAAGACTGTTCGGATGATATTCTAATTTTTCTTGATACTTTTGCTAAGGTCTGTAATTTCTTCTTTCACTGATTTCACCGAACCAAGGTGCGCCAATTCTTCTCAGCGTCTTAGCCTGAAATCGTTCAAGAATTTCGATGTTGGATTTGCTCGAGGTCCCCCAAAGTTGAATTCCGTATGTCCAAATTGGTTTGATCATAATTTTATACAGTAAAATTTTCTTAGCCAATGATAATTTTGAATTCGTACCTAGTAGCCAATTGAGTTTACAAATTTTTAATTCCATTTGCTGTCTCTTTGCACCAGATATGAGATTTCCAATTTAATTTTTTGTCAAGAGTTAGACCTAAATATTTTACACTGTCTGCCTCCGTTAAGGCTACATATTATTAATGGTTACTGGAGGATTGCACTCTGTTCTCAGAGTAAAAACAATATGTTTGGACTTGTTTTCGTTGACTTTTATCCTCCACTTTTTAAGCCAATATTGGAGCTCAGTCAAGGCATTTACATTTGACAACAAATATTCGTAAAAAACAAATGGAATAGAAACCTATTTGATAGCTCTCATTTTGTTATGCATAGATTTGTTTTTAAAAATTAGGTTATCATTACAACAGCTGTTTCCTTAATTTAATTTAATCAAGAAATGACAAACATGGCATAGTAAACAAAATAAAACATTCTTCCATAAGATTAACACGTAAACTGCAAAGGGCCTTAGGACGCTACCCTTAAGGGTTTTTGAAACGGAAACAGGCTATTATGTTATTCTAGTACCTAAGGAATATCCCTGTAAATTTTCATGCCAATTGGTTCAGTGTTTTCTAGTTATAAACGCTGTAACTAACACAACTTTCTTTTATATATTTCTAGTTGGCCCGACAGACGTCGTCTTGTCCTAATGTGGTTTTATGTCAAATGTTCGTTCATTTTCAAGATGAGCATGTTCGCATGGCTCAATCACGTCTTGGTTGAAGTTCGTTCGCTACGCTCACTCACCTTTTGGTTGCAAATTAGCTGTTGTAATAAATTGAAAAAAAATAATAGTGCTGCACCCTGTTGGTAAACCTATTAATTTCTTAATGCTATTGAACATCATAGAATTAAATTCTTTAGTTGAACCAGCTGTTAAGAATCTTTAATTCCATTTAAATATGAGTACTCATAAGGTTAACATGGGAAACTCCAAAAGCCACTGGGGCGGAGCCCTTTTGACGGATCTGCACCAAACTTCACACAAACCATCCTTGAATAATGCTTAATAATAACTGAAAGTTTATTCATTACAATCTGTCGATCGGTTTCGGAGTCCATAAAGGACAAACAAACATACATTGGATTTTATATATAAAGAAGATTTGTTATAGGCCTAGCTTAACAACCAATCAATAGTAAGAGATAAATTGCCCACAAAGATTGGCCTAAAATCTTTGCTGTTGTTTTAACTAACGCGTATTTTTGCGTTAGTTTTGAGCTGTACGGCTCTTTGGTACTAAATAGTCTTGCTATTTAACAGTTTTGAGTTTTCAGCTTTCTTTTATTCTTCAAATTCGAGATTTTTTTTATAGTTAGAAAATAACATGGAACATGCCCTTACTACAAGTTATCTTAAAGAGTAGCTCATGAATAAGCTTGGAAAGAAATTTGGCGCTGTTCCGTTCAGTAGTTAGGGTATTACGGTAGTTAACTTCAAAGTCCTTTTGTAAAACGTTTTGATCCACCCTGTAAATACGGTTAAAGATAATTAAATTTTTTGCAAAAAAATGATCGGGGTGATTAGACCTTTAAATTGATGTATCACACAACCCATGTTTACCTTTGAAAATTTCTCAAAAAAGCACATTTTTCAAAATTAAAAATTATTTTATTGGATTTTGCATGTCCAAATTAGGGGGAAATGAGAACAAACAAGTGTTAAAGCCTTACCTTTGCACACAACAGATATGGAAAGTTTTCAAATGAACACCCTGTATATTTCAAATAAATTTATGATTGAAAACACTTTTGATGGATACCATATTCATCCTCAAGCTAAGTTTGGCCTAGGGAGCAAGTTTTAACTAGGTACCTTCTTACACGAAAAAAAACAGTATAATGAATCATAATACAAGTGTGACAAATGTCAAATTATTGTAAAGCCTTCAAACGGCAGAACACATATTATATACACAAGATAGTTGATATAGCATTGACAAATTTGAAGGAGACTGCAAGCGTCGTGAATAGAAGTCGTTCGGAGTTAAAAAAAAAGAACGACTCTCATTATACTCAACCGATCTGTTCAGCAAGAGCTGTTCACCTTCAATTTGAATCTCCCGCTCTTTGTCGATCTGTTTTGCTTGTCGACATTTTGCGTGTCGATAAAGTGGGAAAATTTACACAACCGTCCCACATAACAGATATCCCACATAACCGACATCCCACTTTACAGACATCCCATATTACCGACACTGTCGACATTTTGAGTTGTCGACATTGTGGGACTATTTCAGTGTCGATCTTTTGGGATGTCGATAAACTGGGACCCCATGGATAAAACATAGTCCCATAGTCCTAAGGGAAAGGGACTATATTTTATCTATGTTATTATCCTCATTGAGATCAATAATAATAATAGCTCAGTGGTTATGCCAAGTCTTGCCTGGCTGTTAGGCACAAGAAAGAAAAAAATACTGGTGTCAGTCTGTCTGCTAGCTAGGTACTTATTATATAACCTTCAAGTTCAAAGTTGCCCACCCACCATAGTCACTTAAAGTGCAGTTCTTTTGCCTGTCATCGATAGATTTTAGAAAAAATGTCTTTAAGGAAATTATTAGCCACGGATAAACTATCAAATTTATTTAAAGTTATTACAGAAAATGGGGGAATAGTGAACTGTGCTGTTAAGATGTTCAGGTAAATACCTAAGCTCAGCCTAATTAATTAATTGTCAGGCTTGTTGGCTTTTGACTATCCTAAAAGGTTTTGTTGAACCTTTTCATGTACAAATCTTGTATTTAAAGAAATGTACCGAGTATCCACAAAAGATTAGTACAATTTTATACCCAAACCATATTGTTATTTTGCCCTACGATGCTCTACCTGTGTTACAGTAGGCCTACATAGGCCTAGGCCTAGTCGTTTTGGCTACACACCACAGTTTAGTTTTCTGCACAATTGTTAATTAATTGAGGCAAAATTATGAAAGCATTTCTCTAAAAATTAAAACAAAATGAAAACAACCAATTTTTAACCCTCCGAGTGTTATTTGTCAATGCATCGACACATAACACACTTTGTGTAGTATTTGTGTCGATGCATCGACTCACAAACACTGTTTACGGCGAAGGCTCTATGACTGACAAAATCGGATTGAACTGGATCGAGTTAGGTATCGTTTTATTTGACAGATTCAGAGCTTTCTCCGGAGGTCTGTGTCTAAGCGCTTTTCATTTTAGTTCCGAAAATATTGTAGCAGACAGCTTACGTGCGTATTTGTAAACAGCTTGGTTAACCTCGCACCGATGACTGATGTGTTTTATTACGTTTATCATTGTTTTAGTGTTAAAAATCAAAAGTAGGCCTAGTGATATACGTGGTGCATTATAAGAAGATTTAAGTGATTTTGAAGGGCTGGTTGATGATCCTGAAGAAGTAGGTAGTGATATTGATGTAAATTAACTTATCAGCCAGATTCCTAGCTATGGTTAGGCTATGCATTCTTAGCTAAACGCTACGTACTGAAATCTGTTTTTTGCCCATAATTTATTTATTTGCAAATCTACTTCCTTATATTATTATATATTTGTAATCCTCATAAAATTTAGAACAAAGTGGCTATTTTCAAATATTTATAGGCCTATAATTTATACAATTTCATTGAGCGCAAACTTATTTTTTTTTTGAAAATTTTCAAAAATATTTTTTTTTACCTAAAAAATTTTTCTTAAACAAATGTTCCTTATGTTTTATGTATAATATTGAAGCCCATGATTTTCCAAACAAAATGGTATATTGAACAGTATAACTAACATTGTTTTCAAGCTTCTCAGATCCGTTTTAATAAAACCTTGCAAATGAGCAAAAAATAGGCAGACATTAAGGCTAAAACAAGGGACACTCGGAGGGTTAACCTGAATTCAAATGTAGCCTAAATTGTGTTAACCTATTTGGATCCTGGAGAAAGACATTCGTAATATTCTCTCTTACCGTAGTTCCTTAACTGACATGTTTTTGACAAGTAGACAATATCCTTGGATCTTAGGCCTAAAACTCTTTGATATAGGTACTAAATTATTTGTTTTTTAAGCTCTTTAAAAAGGTCTACAGATAAAATAAGAAATTTTATGTTTTGTGGGTCAAAAATTAGAAAAACTATTTTTTACCCCATAAAACCCCCCGTAAAACCCCGTTCCCATTGTCTGATCATGCTGGTTCGTGAACTCATTCAAGTTTATCCCGCCTTACACCTTTCAACCAAATTTCATCAAAATCGGACAAAAATTACTCAAGTTATCGCGTTCACGGAAGTATATATATATTTAACAGTTAAGTTTCTGTGAACGCGGGGGACGAATATATGTCTACACACGGCCGTGAGGGATGATCAGAATTTTCTGCGATCTCAGAAGATGATGATGATATCCACAATGCCGCTAAGTATGATCAGAATATTGCCGCGATCACATAAGACATGATTATGTCCACCTCACCGCGGGAAAAACATCGAGAGTCTTGCCGTGATCGCCGAAGATGATGATGATATCTACAGAGCCGCTAGGTATGATCAGAATTTTGCCTAATTTGCGAAAAACGATGATGATCTCCTCAAGACCGCAGGAGATGATTACCATTTTGCCACAATCGCGGGAGGCGATTACTATGTCCACACGACCACGGTGGACGACATAATGATGTCTTCACTGACGCGAGGGGTGATCAGAACTTGCTGCGATCATGCAAGACGATGACAATGTCCACACGACTGCGGGAAAAGATCAGAATTTTGCCTCATTCGCCGTAGACAATTAAAAATTAAACACCACTCAGGTTGTTTCTGCACAACTAGGCGCAGAACTAGGCATATACTAATATGTGAATGTTCTGTTGAAGAGATAGACTTTATCTTCTTACGACCGTTGGATATTTTCATATATTACCATGATCGAATGGAAGACGATAATTATATCTACATGACCAAGGAAAATCTTCAGAATTTTGCCGCAATGGCGGGAGATGATTACCATGTCTACATGGCCGCGAGGGATTATCAGAAGTTTTCCATGATCGCATGCAAATCCAACCACAATCTTTTTTTATTTTTCCAATTTTTTGGCGCCCCCTAAAAAGCCAATTGCCTTGCGCCCTAGGCACGTGCCTACCGGGCCTATTCGGTAAATCAGCCCTGTATTCAGCCGGACGAATTTGAGACCGTTCACGTGTTGTTTGTTTTGTTTTTGTTTCAGTGTTTTCCGTGAGTTGCAGTAGATATCAGTTTTGCAAAGGGTAGGGTTTCCCCTTGTAATCTGTTTTTTACAATATTTTTAAGTTCTATTTTGATCAATGTTTCCCTAAATTTAAAAAACGCTGTAAAATCAAATACAACAATTGGATTTCACAAGAGTTAAAAAATGAAAAATCAAAGATTATTAGAATGAGTAAGACTGTTCGGGCTTGTAATGATAAAGATCTTTATGATAAGGTTAAGAGATTAAATAAGGAGTTCAGAAAGAAAATTATACATGCCAAAAGACAGTTTTAAGCTAAAAAGGTTAGTAATGATGAAAATGTATGTAAAGCTACTTGGAAATTACTTAATGCTGAAATCTCAAATAAGAAAAAGAATGTTAGCAATATTGAAATAGATTTTGATGGAATCTTGTACAGAGACCCTAAAGAGATAAGTTGTATTTTTAATGACTTTTTTAATAGCTTTGTTAATTCATCAATTATTCCTCAGCTAGCTCAAAATGATAGTTTGCATGGGGGTGAGGCTTGTCCAAGCTTTCAGTGTCCTCCAACGGCTAAATTTAAATTGAATGCTGTATGTGATAATGATATATTAAGTATTCTAAACTCTTTCGATAATAAACTATCAACTGGTTACTGTACTATTTGACTAAGAATTAAGTGAATGCACTGTTTTATGTCATAACTCAAACTCAACTGACTTTATTTACCTTTATACAAACATAGAATAACAAATAAACATATGATAATAATTAATAGAAATTAACAGGTGTTATGAAATAAACTGTCTCACAACATCCTCCCTTTTAAGTTTGAAAGTTCTTCAACCAGCTTGGTTTTTGTATGTTTCTCTTTGGACGGTTGTATGGTTCTGTTTGATGTGTATTCGCTGACAAATTTTGTTCACTGTTTTCCTCTCTTAAATAAGGGGCAAGTTTGAGGTGGAATCGATTTCTTCTCACATTCCTCTTATCAGTTTCAACAATATATGAACGAGGGCTGTCCAGGATTTTCACAATCTTGCCATGTCTTCTAAGGTCCACAATCCAAACTGGGTCTCCTATATGAAGAGGATTGAGAGTTTGCACTTTGTGCCTTCTATCATAGTTGTGTTTGTACTTCTCACGATATCTTTCTTCTCTCCCTTTAAGATCCTTTAGATCTGGTTTTCCACAAAGCAAATGTCCTGTCTGAGGCAATGTGCTCCGTAATCGCCTGTTCATAAGAAGCTGAGAGGGACTGAACCCATTCCAGAGGGGTGTCGTTTGATAGGCTAGAAGCGCTAAATAAGGGTCTTCCACATTTTTCTTTAGAATCATTTTGACGATTTTCACTGCCGCTTCAGCCTCTCCATTGCTTTGGGAAAATTTTGGGCTACTTGTTACATGCTTGAAGCCATAAACTTTGGAAAATGTCTTGAAATCTGAATTTTCGAGGACTTGAAATTGAGACCCACAGTCAGACCTAATTTCTTCTGGAATGCCGTGTCGACAGAAAAAGGCTTTGCATCTCATTATTACTTCTCGTGATGTTAATGATTCTAATTCAGCTATCTCAAAATATCTGGAGTAATAATCTGTCACAGTCAAAAACCAAACGCCTTCAAGTTTGAACAAATCCATCGCAAGTGTTTTCCATGGCCTGTCAGGGAATTGTGTGGGAAGCAATGGTTCATGACTGTTCCTTGAATGTTTAATACAAGTAGGGCATGATTTCACCATACTTTCAATGGCTGAAGAAATTCCTGGCCACCAGACTGACTCTTTTGCACGTAAACGACACTTGGTGATTCCAAAGTGACCTTCATGTACTCTTTGAAGTGCCCAAGACTGCAGAGCTGGCGGAATTACAAGTCTTGAACCTCGTAGTATCATCTCATTATCAACACTTAGCTCATCCTTAACTGAATTGTACGGTTTTAGGTCATCTCGAAATGATGTCTTAGAAGGCCAACCTTGGATGATTATTTTTTTCAGTTCACGTAAAGTCGGATCCTTATTTTGTTCCTCCAATACTTTAGCAACTATGCAGTCGTTTATATCGATGGATGACAAAACCATTTGAACAAACGCTTGAGTTTCTTCTTCTAACTCACAGTCATCAGTACCTGAAAATTGGAGAGGTGCTCTTGAAAGAGCATCAGGAACTAGAAGCTGCTTTCCAGGAATATAAGTAATTGAAAAATCATATCTCATGAGACGCAATCGAATTCTTTGAATTCTTGGAGACAATTCATCAAGATGTTTGGACTTCAAAATTTGAAGCAGTGGTTTGTGATCTGTTTGTATTGTTATTCTCTTGCCAATAATAAATTCTTGAAACTTTTCACATGCCCAAGCAACAGCTGTAGCCTCCCTCTCGATGTTTGCATAGTTTTTTTCAGAAGGAAGAAGGCTTCGGGATGCAAATGATACTGGTCGTATAGAACCATCATCTTGAACTTGAGA